TGGGTCGTGATGTTGTGAACGTCTCAATAAAGCATAACTTTCAGAATATTTTTCAAATGAATTTCCTGAACACCAAATTACAGGCACATGCTGTCTGCTACCGACAGATGCCAAAAGAATGCGATTTTGGCGTTCTACGAAAAATTCTGTTACCCCCGTCATCGTTGACTATTCCACGAACCGAACTCCCGATGGAGCAGCTATTGGCCATAACAACAAATGAACCTCCTCAGTCGCGTAAGGGTCAGACTGTTGCACTATCCTTTCCTTTCCGGCTATCAGACTTAATATTATGAAAACAGAACCATACTCTTTGTGACTTGAAATCGAAATGGGAGCTTTGTCAAGTATACAGGGTGTTTCAAGCCATCCTCATGGTAAAAAACAACGGTAAAAAAACTTCTTTTAGACCTGATAAAGACATGCTGCGCTCCTTAAATAAGTGGCAAAGCCGCAATGGGAATACTCAATTTTTCAATATTAGTATGTGTCATTAGGTTCGATGATTCAGTCTAGTGTCCTTACGTTGCCAGCAATATCTGCGCGTGAACAATGACAATTCTATGCGCAAATCGCAAGCAAGCTACCGGCAATTCGTGCGCATGACATCTGTTCCCGCGCAAAAGTTGTCGTCGCCGCAGTACACCTTGTTAGTCGTTTACAACAAAGACTACATGGCAAATATGTAGCTTTGGCCCTGTTTCAATGGAAAAAGTGGGTATTACAAAAAATTTCTGCAAGTGCTTCGATCTTGAGAGTTTTTGATGATATTTGAAAATTTCCAAATGATTTCTAAACTGACCATCGACCAACAAACAAAATTTCATCGAAAAAATCTAAACGTTATAATTTACCCTTGCCAACTGCGAACACAAAGTATGTTTTTCGCAGTGAAAATTTTTTTGTTCAAGAAAATCGGGATAAATATTATTTTGCTGTTAATCTGAGAGAATTCTGGGTTTGGAAGCTACAATAGTCGCCGTTATTCCCATGTATTATATTTTTCTCCAAAAATATTTCACATTTTTTTAAGGAACCAAAATTTACCTAACCTGATACATTAACCATGACAATGCTCCCATTTCTTTAACTCTTTCATTCTATAAAGCACAGCACGGATAATTTACTCAAACCTAACTTGTGCATTTAGTTTTTTGTGTAGTGGTGTGGGCGTGAAAGCACGATTCTGAAAATTTTCTGGGGGCGGTTCTGAGCAAAGAATGGGAGTGCTGATTTGCTGAGGAGGCTTTTTCAGTGTCATCACCATCAAAAATTCAACCGGACGATGTGTCATCTTCTGGTGAAGACATGAAAGAACGTGAGGATACGGAAATTTTGCGAGTTTTCGATGGTAACTCGTCATTACGAGCACAAATCTGTCGAACAGCAAGCGTTCCGAAAACTGCTACGGTGCAGCAGATTCGTGTAAGTCAGATGGAGAATTTTTCTCTGAAATTTCCTGAATTTTTTCGAAATTTTCCACTTCTCAGGACACAGCGATGCGTCGCTTCCACATTACTGATAACCCGGACAACTACTATGTAACCCAAGTTGTCAACGATGGTAAGTTTACCTTCAACATGCTCATCCCCTCCATATCCGTAAATCTCAACTCATTTAGCAGGTGACGAAGAAACACTCGAAGATCCGGTCCCACTGCGAAATGTGAAGCGACCGGAAGGTCGTCGTGCACAGATATTCCTTAGGTACAAAGATGATCCTGACAAGGATGTGGTCAAGCTTTATGGCGGGTGGCTGAGGTACAGTAAATGTTTACTTGAGGTTACGGTAGAGAAAATTTACGTTTTAGGGTTCCTGTAACGTTTTGTTCGTTGACCGTAACGCGTGACACTTTGGTCCAGGATGCCCTTGCTGATGCTTTGCAAAACTTCGGTCTGGATCCTAGCACGTGGAATAGGTATATTTTTACGAGAGGGATTAAAATTAAAAAAATAAAATCTTGTTTCAAGGTATAATCTAATAGAAGTATCATTGGACCGAGGTGTCGCTGAGCGAACATGCAATCCTCAGGAAAACATGTTACAATTGGTGCGAAATCTGCGAAAGGTTGGTCTTTTATGGAC